CTTTTGAATTCGAATTGTATTTAAGGAAGTAATTTTAGTTCTTGGTAGATTTAGTATCCATATCCGTTTTCGTTCAGCGTTCCTCCACGACGAGCAACGATTCTTGTTTTGACTACCTATATTTGTCTTTACTTATTCACCTTACCCTGGCCATTTCTACCAAATAAAGTAGAAATATCAGTTAATGGTGAGTGAATGTTGCTAGATGAGCCTGTAAAATCTCAATAGATCTGCTCTACCAGCTTCACACATGGACAAGGCCTGAAAAAGGGTCTGAAATGTTCTGCTTTAGGGTCCGACGCAGGTTGTTTCGCTGATCGGTTCAGTTGGTGCGACGACCTCACACAAGTTTCTCCATATGTGAGTTTATTTATTTATTTATTTTGACTACACCTAAGGGTGTGCCATACAATGAAAGCAGGACTCTGAGGCAGTTCCTATCAACAAAATCTAGAAGAAAATGCTCACAAAGAAGAAAAGGAGAGAGTCTCAAGGCAGAGCCCAAGGCTGAGGGCTAAAGCAATAGTGTAAAAAAGAGGAACGAAGGAAACAGAGCAAGTATGTCGCATCAAGGGCATTGCCATTATCAAACTGGGACCTCCCCTATGTGTGGAGGGAAGCTGCTCTCCTTTGTGAAAAAAGTGGTGTCTAGCAAAATTCTGATATGCGGCATAAAGACATATAGAGGGTGCAGCCCTGGAGCTTGCTGACGTCTCAGCTCTTTACGAACAATGCATCCGGAAAAAGAAGGCGAGAAGCTCAGATAAGACCTTGAGTCGGTGAATTTATCGTTTCACAGGCTCCTCAAACAGCTGGATGCTGGAGTTGTGTCTCTACGAGCAGCTGATAACAGTTTTATAGTGACTTTTCAAAATTGCTTTCAACGATTGTTAGTCCAGAAAAGAGTGACTAATTCCAAGTATTTTCCTTATATCGGTTATCTTTCTGAAGCAACGCGTCCGCGTTCCGTCTGGAATCGCTTGGAACTGCATGCAGTGCTGACGATGACGATTCTCGCGAATTACCTAACAAAAAGTCCGTTATATTACGGTATAGGCTTTGATTGACAATTCCGGAATGATGGAGCCCGGGCCGGTTGGTGTCTTGCGCACTTATGTAACCAGCGTTTTAGTGGGCGTTAGGATAATCTTCGCAAAATGGCTTGGATCAGTCAAATTTACATACAATTACATTTGTTTACTTACTCAAGCGTTTGTTTATATATTCAATTTCACACCACCTTAAGGTATACTACACAATGTTCGTACTTGTGTTCGGATTCGGAGTCTCTATAATGAACATAGCTATCACAACATTGTATTCAGAAGTTATCGGACCACGACGTCAGGTACTGAACTTTGCAGAGCTTGTCGAAAAATCAAAAATTGAAAATGCCAAAAGGATTTTTGGAAAAAGACCAGAAAATCTAAAGTTGAAATCAAC